CTTTGTATGTTATTTGTTGTTTCTCCCTTGCTGCTTTTAATATTTGTTCTTTGTGTTTGATCTTTGTTAATTTGATTAATATGTGTCTTGGGGTCTTTCACCCCTTTTTAAATGTGACTGCAAGGACATTTAAAATGAAGCATATGGATGATGTTATATCTTCACTGGACAACGTGGCTCTAAACTGGTGCTTTTCACCCAAAGCAGGGTCCCTGGACCAGCAACATCAGCATCACCTGGAAACTTGTTAGAAATGCAGCTTCTCGGGCCTCATCCAGACCTGCTGAATCAGAAACTGTGGGGTGGAGTCCTCCAAAGAACTCTTCTGATACTCAAGTTTGAGAACCACTGCTCTGATTTATCCCCAGTTACACTGAGCTACACAGGGGAAGAAATGGTTATGAGAATCACTTGTGCAGATAGACAAACTAGGTTTAAAATTCTGGCCTTGCCACTTACCAGCCATGTGATCTTGGGCAAGTTATCAAAGCATCGTTACCTGCCATCTCTAATACCAGAATGATGAGAGTAACCACCTCTCTGGGTAATTGCTTGGATTAAATGGAATGCAAAATACCCAGCACATAGCGAGTGCTCAAAAGACCAAATTGTTTTTATCATCAGCATAGTCATCAGGATTCCTGAAACATCTCTGCCTAGGATTCCATAGATTCCAGCCCCTTGTCTTCACAGATCATGAAATAATTACTGCAAGGGGTGTGAGTGGTGGCCACCGAATATGAAATGATTCTGGAAGCAGCAACTCTGCAGGGCTCTCTATTCATATCCGAGGACACAAATCTTCAAAAATGGCAACGATGAGGGAAGCATGACACCCTGGAACATTCATCATCAATAACATGGAGGAGTTTCTGCTAGTTTTCATTTATTCAGCCAGTGTTTACTGAATAGCCACTGAATGCTACACATTGCTTGAAGTTTCATGGACTTTATAAGGAAATCATAAAGCTTAAAATGTGGTCAATAACAGGTAAGTAAACAAAATAAACCACAGCTATTATCCTATAACTGCTCACATTTCAAGAGCAAGACGTTTGTTTTGCTTTTGCTTTGGAGCTAGCCAGTGTTTAGCACATAGTAGGTACTTGCACGTGTCCAGCTAAGTCACTTCAGCTGTCTCCACTCTGTGTGACCCTATGGAGTGTAGCCTGCCAGGCTCCTCTGTCCATGTGATTCTCTAGACAAGAATACTGCAGTGGGTTGCCATTTCCCCTCCAGGGGATCTTCCTGACCCAGGGACTGAACTTGCATCTCCTTGTCTCCCGCATTCAGTTCCGTTCAGTTGCTCAGTCAACTGACTCTTTGCCACCCCATGGACTGCAGCATGCCAGGCCTCCCTGTCCATCACCAACTCCAAGAGCTACTCAAACTCACATCCATCGAGTTGGTGATGCCATCCAACCATCTCATTCTCTGTCGTCCCCTTCTCCTCCTGCCTTCAATCTTTCCCAGCATCAGGGTCTTTTCCAATGAGTCAGTTCTTCACATCAGGTGGCCAAAGTATAGGAGTTTCAGCTTCNCATGATGTACTCTGCATATAAGTTAAATAAGCAGAGTGACAATATACAGCCTTGATGTACTCCTTTTCCCATTTGGAACCAGTCTACTGTTTCATGTCCAGTTCTAACTGTTGCTTCTTGACCTGCATACAGGTTTCTCAGGAGGCAGGCAAAGTGGTCTGGTATTCCCATCTCTTTCAAAATTTTCCACAGTTTTTTGTGATCCACACAGTCAAAGGCTTTGGCATAGTCAATAAAGCAGAAGTAGATGTTTTTATTGAACTCTCCTGCTTTTGCGACGATCCAGCAGATGTTGGCAATTTGATCTCTGGTTCCTCTGCCTTTTCTAAAACCAGCTGGAACATCTGGAAGTTCACATACTGTTGGAGCTTGGCTTGGAGAATTTTGAGCATTACTTTGCTAGCATGTGAGATAAGTGCAATTGTGTGGTAGTTTGAACATTCTTTGGCATTGCCTTTCTTTGGGATTAGAATGAGAACTGATCGTTTCCAGTCCTGTGGTCACTGTTGAATTTTCCAGATTTTCTGGCATATTGAGTGTAGCACTTTCACAGCATCATCTTTTAGGATTTGAAATAGCTCAGCTGGAATTCCATCACCTCCACTAGCTTTGTTCATAGTGATGTGTCCTAAGGCCCACTTGACTTTGCATTCCAGGATGTCTGGCTCTAGATGAGTGATCATACCTTTGTGGTTATCCAGGTCATGAGGATCTTTTTTGTATAGTTCTTCTGTGTATTGTTGCCACCTCTTCTTAATATTTTCTGTTTCTCTTAGGTCCATACCATTTCTGTCCTTTTGTGCCCATCTTTGCATGAAATATTCTCTTGGTATATCTAGTTTTCTTGAAGAGATCTCTAGTCTTTTCCATTCTATTGTTCTCTATTTCTTTGCACTGATCACTGAGGAAGTCTTTTCTTATCTCTCCTTGCTATTCTTTGGAACTCTGCATTCAAATTTGTCTGCCGCATTGGCAGGAGGATTCTTTACCACTGAGCCCCCTGGGAAGCCATGACAACTGTTTATTGAGCAGTTATTTTGTGCCAGGGCCATATACCAGTGAGCAAAACAGATTAAAATCCCTGTTCTCACAGAGCTTCCAGAGGAGGAAGACAGAGCTTTCTTTATTCCTACAGAATGGAAAAGCTTTTTGTCTATTAGAAGATGACAGAAGGCCCAATGGGGAATAATAAAGCTGAGGAGGGAACAGGGAATCTGAAGGGGACTGAGATTTAAATAGGTTTAAATAGGCTGCAGTTTTAAATAGGTACTTGGGGGGTATCACTGAGAAGCGGCATAGGAGGAAAGCCTCAAAGAAGGAGAGAAATGAGCTGGTCCCCATCTGGGGGCAGAGCACAGACCTGAGATGGGACATGTTCCAGAAAGTTCTGGCACACTGGAGGAAGAACAAAGAGGCCAGCGGGGATGGGCTCGGCCAATGAGGAGAGAGCGGAGAAATCATGGGAGCAAATCGTCCTTGGTCTTATAGAACTTTCCAAACACTGTTGGTTTTGCCACCCCAGCTTTATGACAACATAAATAAAATGATTGCTTGATAAAAACTGTAACTATTAGCAAATCTAAAATGAAAAAAAAAACACCCTAGAGTTAACAGCATCACACAGTATAAGAGAACAAAGTAGTGAGGTTGGGAGTTACAGTATGGAAATTTAAAGATTTCGTTCACCAAAAATGTAAGGATCACTTACCCAAAGGACAGCGTGAACCACACAATTGTGAGTTTTATGGTATTTTCCCTGACTGGATAGGTGAAACATCTCATAAAAGTCAACCAAATCTGTGAAATATCAGAGAGTTAGTTTTCTTATGCCAGTCCCTAGGCAACTCTACTTCCCAACCAATCCCCTCTGACAAATTATAAAAAAATGTTGCGTTTTCTTTGGGCTGGATTCATTTGTACTTAAAATGTAAAAGCTAAAGGCTACAGGAAACGAAATGCTGGGATTTGTATTTATCAGCTTCCAACAGACAAAATAACTCTAGATGTTGGTGTACCCCGTCACTGCTAGGGACTCCTTGTTTCACACCATCCCTCCCCCCAAAAAGCAACGTCTTGGCTACCCCACTGATCGCTAGGGGATCCCATTACCTGGTCCCACACCAGGAGTCAGGTCCCTGGGCAGGAGGGGGAAGAACCCCACTCATGGGGCGGATTCTGTCAACCCTGTTTCTGACTAACCCTAAGTGACAAGCTGGGCTGCGAGTCAGGGCGGGCTGGGTACTTACTCCCTGCAGTTCCGTGCGGACGCGAACAAAGCACCTCCGGTACCACGTTCCCGTGTCACTCTCAATTTCAATCAGTTCATCTATCTGTCTGGGGGTTTTGATTCTGTTTACCTGTAAGGCGCAACAGAGGGCAAAGTGCTGAGTTCTCGTCTCTGAAGTTGTAGAGTTTAGGCTTACAATTTGTTTTTAAAGGAGTGAAAGCTGACTCCAACAAAAAGGAAGCAGGTGTTTGATACATAAGCAGGTATCCATAAATATGAGACCACTGGTGTCAGTATACAGACTCAAAGGCACCTAAAAGAACTGAATAAAGAATGAATGAGAGGATGAATACCATAAGGAAGAGAGGGAAGAGTAGGTAGTAATGGAATTAAATGAAACAAAATGCCCTTCTCTGAATCACGACTACAAAGGCACACACTGGGAGGTGGGGAGGGAAGGATTGGGAGTTTGGGATTAGCAAAGTATGACAAAGAGAATGGATAAACAACAAAGTCCTACTGCACAGCACAGGGAGTGTATCTTGTGAAAAGCCGTAATGGAAAAGGACGTGATAAAGAATGCATGTGCATGTGTAACTGAATCCCTCTGCTGTGTAGTAGAAATTAACCTAGCACTGTAAATCAACTCCATCTCAATAAAATAAACTTAAAGCACACACTAGCAGATAAAACTCCAAATAGAGTCACTTGTGGATTAAGAATTACTTTGCTTAGACAAAAGGGACTCAACACACCTTTTTTAGGAACCTACTTACTTGATGAATTTGGCCCCTAAACAGAGTTCTTAGAGCTTTCCCATGTCACTTCCATTCCTGACTCTCTCTTCCTTCTCTCACAGCCAAATAGTGTGTGTTCAGTCATGTCTGACTCTTTGCAACCCCGTGAAACGGGCTGCCATTTCCTCCTTCAGGAGATCTTCCTGGCCCAGGGATGGGGAGGGAAGCATTCTTCCTTTATGGACCTAACCCATTTTACCTTGTTAGTCAAAATCTACCTGCTTTTGATGAACCTGAGAGAGGACACAGAATCGTGCACACATGCTATCCCTCCCAGGGATAACATCTGAATAGATCTTTCTGAAGAGACTGCCAACAACTGAAGCAGTACTTCCACTGCACAAATCCAGGTATGAAGACTGGCTTTTGACAGAGGTTTGAGGACCCTCGGGATCTTTCAAATTACACCAGATGGGCAGTAGCCTCTCCCTGGCTATGTAAACAAAGATGTCTGTATTTAGTGATGATGATGTTTGAGTTAAAAGCAGGATTCCAAATAGGGTCAGCTACAAACCATTCATTATTTTGAGGCACTCTAGAGTTTTGTTTTCTTTTTAAATCACAGGGGTATTCCTTTTTTTTTTTTAAGATAGCATCACTGACTCAATGGACATGAACTTGAGCAGGCTCCAGGAGATTGCAGAGGACATGGAAGCCTGGCATGCGGCAGTCCATGTGATCGCAAAGAGTCGGACATGACTTAGTGAATGAACAACAAATTCTTGGACACGACAGCGACTGAACAACAAATTCTTTTTTTGTACTGAATGAAAGGTTCATTGAATTCTATAGTGTTTTACAATTTTCAAAAGTTTCACGAAGATGATTTCATATAATCCCATAATAATTTCTTTTTTTTCTCCTACCCCTTTCCTCTCCTCTCCTCCCCCTTCTCCCCACTGGCAACCACTAGTTTGTTCTCTATGTCTGTGAGCCCATTTCTGTTTTGTTATATTCCCTAGGTTGCTGTGCTTTTTTAGATTCCACATAAAAGTGGTATACAGTGTTTGTCTTCCTCTGTGAATTATTTCATTCAGCACAATGCCCTCCAAGTTCATCTATATTGCTGTAAATGGCAAAATTTTATTCTTTTTTATGGCTGAGTAATATTCTACTGTTTATAATATCATCTTCTTTATCCATTCATCTGCTAATGAACACTTAGACTGCTTCTATATCTCGGCTATTATAAATAATGCTGTGAACAATGGGTTGCATGGGTTCATGTATCTTTTCAAATTAACGTTTTTGAGTTATTTTGGATGTATACCCAGGAGTGGGATTGTTAGGTTATATGGTAGTTCTATTTTCAGTTTTTTGAGGAATCTCCCTACTGTTTTCCACAGTGTCTTTACCAATTTACATTTCTTACTAACAATGTATAAAAGGTTCCTTTTCTCCACATTCCCACCAACATTTGTTATTTGCATTTTTCTGATGAAGGCCATTCTGACTCAGTATATTACTTTTGAGAGGCTTCTCCATTCATCAATGTTTGTTTGTACATTCTTTCATCGGCACCCATGGGAGCCAGGACTGGTACTGGACCCCGGAGATGCAATCATAAAGCATCATGCTCTCTAAGCAATTACATATAAATTAGAAAGTATCCCAGTGGAAATCTACATCAGATGGGAGAGACATACTATACAGAACACCCGAGCTGACCTGGGAGCGACAGAGAAGACTTGATGGGCTGTGGAATTTGAGCTGGAGCTTATGGAGAAGCATGTCATTTGCCATGTGTATCAGCTATTTGCAGGGCATTCCAAGTGCAAGGAATATGACACGCAAACACCCACAGGTGTAAGAGAAAAGAAAGTTGGAAACTTCAATGACTCTCTGATTCCTGAAGAATGGCGCAAGGGCAGAGAGTAGGGAGGGCTGAACCAAATCAGTGGCAATAAGGGTAGAAAGTAAGAGACAATGATGAGAGATATTTAGGATGGAGAATAATAAGACATACTGGATTTTTTGGACATCATAGAGATAAAGGAAAGAAATAGGAGAGTTTTCAGGGGTCTAGTTTTGGTGGTGCTGGTGGCACTTGCTGATAAGTCTTCGGACAAAGAAGAGATTTGGAGACTCTTCAGGTGAGAAGTTCAGATTTAGAAATTCAGAATTTGAAGGGCCTCTAGTACACAGGACTATGGCCACAAAGCCCTTCAACATGTCTGTCTGGAGCTCAGATTGTCCATTTGGAGAAAAAGATCTGGGAAGTAGCTGAGATCAGCTAAGGAGAATGTGAATGACTTAAAAGAGAAGTCTGCTGCAAACAACGTCCTAAAAAACAGCATTCAAATTAGGCACACAGGAAGAAGACCTTTGAGGAAGGCATGTGGATTCACCGTGTTGTAGATATAATAAGAAAAAAATAAAATGTGTCATGGTGGAATCCTGTAATGACTTTGGAAGTCACACATAAATGATTGAGATGACTCATTCTTTTAGAGTGGTCCCATCTTATTCCCACCTAATCTTTATACAGTCAGATTAACGTGGATAATCATGAATGAACTTGGTAACTCAGACCTTCTGGAAGAATAAGCAGGTTAGCAGGGCAAAGAGGTTCTACAGAGACACCTTCTCAGAAATCTTGGGTAGAGGGTTTATTCTCTACCCAAGAAGAGAATAGTGAGAATAGGCTGAGAAGAGTTAAGTGACATTGAGTATCTACCTGACACCTCAAGATTCCTTTTGCCTTATGATCCTTTAAATATACTATTCCTCTATATTGCATCTACTCAAAAGAAATGTCCACTTAAAGGATTCCAGGTCCTCAATGGTGGACATCCATTATTGATCTTTGTTCCTCCATTACACTGCAGAAAACATTTTTATTAGTTAAGAATCTGTGATCATTTGGTTAGAGGCCAGACTGAATTATACCTTCATATTACAAAAAATCCACTTCATATTAAAAATGTAATGAGTCAATAAGTGTCAGGGGATTGTCTAATCAGGAACTATTTCACTTATTTTAAGAACTAGAACTGATACTGTTGATAAGACATTGAATATTTTGCTTGTATCACCTTTAAACCTAACTTAGACAAGACATTTTTGGTCTAACTATATGTTGCCTACATCAAAGGATTTAAAAACCAATCTTTTTTATTTGGGTGGAGGTTCTGGGGAAAAAAAAATAGTGTCCTTTCCAAAAAATACCATGCATTCAATTTTTTATTAGTTTAGATGAGTTTTCCCATTGAGAATACATTTTGTAACTGGAGGACGGAAGACCATTCCACACAGCGGGAAAACACATACAAGAGCAGTGCAGAAGGTAAAACGGTATGAGAAATCGAGAAACAAGTGGCTGCCGCAGCGAGAGAAGAATTTACGACCAGGCATTTTCAGAAAAGGTTTCTCAGCCTTTGGGATAGAGGATTCTCTGAGAAGTAGTACTCACCGTGAAGACCTTCTCAGGCTGACCCCGTGCTCTCATGTTCGTGTCGTGAATTAACTTCAGAATCATCCAGGCTTCATCATGTTTTCCAACCTAAGAAATATGAGTAGACAGTGAATGGCCAGGCGGTAAAACACACATGCTCCCTGATTTTGCAATAACCATGTGGTATTGTCAGATACTGTTGGGTGCAACAGGGCAAATGGTTTAGGTTCATCCCACTGGAAACGCAGACCACCTGGATACCCTGAGTGCAGCAGCAGCTCAAGGAAAAGTGTTCCATTTATAAAACAATAAGGTGCGTTTTCTTCACTGAGGGAAACCACTTGCTTGAGGAGGGACATTAGTGCTTTCAGGCCACGAGGCAGCCTTTTCACATGCTGGCTGTTGAAAGCATGTCTCCATGAAAGCAAACCCTCCATCGTTCTGTAGTAGGAAGGAAAAATGTACCTCCTGAAGAGGCAAACATACTCTGCTTGGATTAAAAGGACCTTGTTTCACTGTCTATGGCTTCCTTGAGTATTTGTGACGATGACCGTTACCTCCAGCAGGAACCGTGGGCTTTCAGGCATGAACGTGAGGGCCACCACCGAGGAGACACAGGGGAGCGCGCAGACGATGACGAACACTCGCCAACTGTGGAACTGGTAGGCTGAGCCCATGCTGAAGCTCCACCCTGGGAGAGGGAGACGGAGGGGTGAGGCAGAGCGAGGACCCCAGTCACGGCGAGCGTCCTCACCTGAACTCATGACTGGTCAAATCTTACCACCCCCAGGAGAACGAGCTGACCTGGGCATTAGCCACAGTGACCAGCTCAACTTGAAGATGGCCAGTAACAGTGCTGAGAAGAAAGGTGCTTGCAATCAACGCGGGCTGGGGCTGGGGCTGGAGGTGCGTGTATATATTTCTGGACAAGCAAGCTGCAAAGACCAAGGTAAATGAATTTGGGGCAGTGCCTTTTGCAGCAGACTCCTGGGCTGGGTAGCCCCTGTCTGCTCCCTCAGATTACTCCGGACCCTTGTCTCTGCTGTGAGCCAGGAAATGGCCCTCCGTGGACCACACCAACTGGCTGCGTTGTCCACCAGCTTCCGGTTGGGTTTGAATAACGGAAGCACTGGGGGGAGAACAGAGGGTGGGATTAGGGCTCAGGATGTTTGCTCCCCTTACTCCCTGCTCCCCTCCCCCGGCTGCGTGGAGGTCTGACAGTGTGTGCGCTGGCCCCTGGGAACCTTCTCGTGGAACCACGTCTCTTGTCAGGTTCTGGCAGCCCCACTCTCCTCCTGACCTCTGAGGCACAAGCGAGTACAGGAGGCCCTTCTGCTACTGGCTCCAAGGTGCTTTATTATTCTGTGTGGGTTTCTCTTAACCGTTCCCACACAGCTCTTTTCAGTGACTCCTGCTGAGAGTGACAGTGCTTTCCTGCCAGCACGCTGACCAGCACAATGATTAAGAACTGGCATTTGCCAATGCTGCCACACACACATGCCATACACTAGATCAAGAGAATTTTAAATTACTAGCTTTTTATTATAATGAAAACAAGCAAATGGGATACCAACAGAAATCTCTTCAAGAACTCAAAGAAAACCAATAATTGAATGAATATAAAATGGTTGAAAGCAACATTCCAACCATGATTCTAAAGGAGAAATAATGAAGCATATCAAATCTAATTGAAAACAGAGAAGAGATTTATGGAGGCAGAGATGAATTATGGTGAGGCAAAATTCTAATTTTTGCAATGCCTGGTATTTGGAAGGCTGCTGTGAGCAAAAGTCAGATAGTCTACATTCCATCCCCAGGAGAGCAGTGTAATTATTCACTGTTTGCCTGGGGGCCAAGAGAGATTCTGAAGGTGACATGAGTTCCTCAAGGCCCAGCAGCGGAAGCTATATGCCAGAACCTTCTCCACCAGGGTCTGAGGTGGAATCTTATACCCCTCATGTCCTCATGTCTGTGCTCACTCCTAAACACGGAATCTGTTGATGAATGATGTAAACACCAATGACATGTGACATCAGCCTTAGATTCATGAGCATTTTCCGGGAATTTAATACATGAGGACTCTGTGGACTGCTAAATTAACTACATCGTAATCTGTGGGAGGGGATGTCTACTCTCAATGTTTTCTGTAGCAGAAGTTCAAGTGTCTCAAATATCCAAAATACAGAGGAAATTCTATAATGGAACTAAGAAAACATACCATGTTCACTTCACACTGGATCTGAGAGCTTCACAGAAAGGAATTCTTTTTCAGAAGTGCTGGAGCTGACAGAAACGGGTCTCCCCGTGTGTCTGAGCTCACCTGCTTCTGGCTTCCTCAACCCCTCGGTCCACCTCACCAACATGCTGCCAGCTCTTTGAATGCACAAAGCTTAGTTCCATTCTAAGGGCTTTGCCTTATTTCCTAGGAAGCCCAGCCTTGCATTGAAAGGATGGAGGCTGTAGGTCAGCCAGCCTTTCTAAGAGTGTTGAAGTGAGAGACTGTTCAGTATTTCTTGTCCTCAGTGAAGTCCCCTCAGGGTCTTTGCATTTGACATTTTCTGCGCCTGAACTGCTCTGAGCAGGCACACATGGATGCCTCCTTTGTACTTTCCAGGTCTCAGTTGAAGGTCATTTCTTCAGAGAGGCCCCAACACTCAATTCCACTTTTATCCTCAAGGCCCATCTTATTGTCTCTACAGCACTTACCATTATGTAAAGCTGTGTATTTACTTATTTGTTTATTTGTTTACCATCTATCCCTTTCCACACCATGAAAGCAGAAATTCTGCTTTTGTTGTTCATCAATATCTCTGCAGTGCTTTTAGCAAGTCCTGGTCCATAGGAAGTATTCTTTAAATATTTGTTAAGCAAATGCACACACACACACACACACACACGCACATGCATACCCTTTTGTGTGTCTGCATGTATAGATGAACATATACAGGATCACTGCAGGCTACTAAGACATTAGTTACTTAGGTTTTCTTTTGAACATTTTTTTCTGAATCTGCACTGAACAACAAAACAACCCTGATTTACTTTTTCAGTTAAATTTGCAGTTTGTATTCAGTAAAATTCATTCATACTTTTTAAACTACATTGTTGTGTGAGTATGATAAATGTCAGCATCGTGTACTCATCATCATAATCAGGATAAAAACTCTTCCATCACCCCGAAACATTCCTTCCTGCTGCCCCTGTGGAGTCAACCCCTCCTCAAAGCCTAACCCCTGTCAATCATTGGTCTGCCCTCCATCCCTATAATTTTGCACAATGTCATATAAATGGATTTATATTATATGCATCTTTTAAAATCTGGCTTCTCACACTTAGCATAAAGCATCTGTGCAGATTGTTGCTCATATTAATAGCTTGCTCCTTTTCATTGCACAGTAACATTTCATTTGTATGAATATTTCATTTGGTTGCCCACTCACCAGCTGAAGGACAGTTGGAATTTCTCCATTTTTAGGGGATTATAAATAAAGCTGTTATAAATATTTCAGACAGGTTTCTGTGTGTCCCAAAGTTTTCCCTTTCTCTTGGGTAAATATCTAAGAGCAGGCAAATTAAGTCATTTAATTAGCTTAGCTTTATAAGAAATTGTCAAACTATTTCCACAGTGGCTGTACCATTTTACCCTCCTGACACTAGTGTTGATGCTTTTGAACTGTGGTGTTGGAGAAGACTCTTGAGAGTCCCTTGGACTGCAGGGAGATCCAACCAGTCCATCCTAAAGGAGATCAGTCCTGGGTGTTAATTGGAAGGACTGATGTTGAAGCTGAAACTCCAATACTTTGGCCACCTGATGCAAAGTACTGACTCATTTGAAAAGACCCTGATACTGGGAAAGATTGAAGGCGAGAGGAGAAGGGGACGACAGAGGATGAGATGGTTGGATGGCATCACCAACTCAATGGACATGAGTTTGAGTAAACTCTAGGAGTTGGTGATGGACAGGGAGGCCTGGTGTGCTGCAGTCCATGGGGTCACAAAGAGTCAGACATGGCTGAGTGACTGAACTGAACTGAACCACTGGTGTATGAGAGTTCCAGCTGCTCCACACACTTTCTACCACTTCTTTGTTAGTTTTTTTTTTTGGGGGGGGGGTAAGTTTGGGCCATTCTATATGTGAGAAGTGGTATCTCATCATGGTTTTAATTTGCACTCCCCTGATGTCTAGTGATAGCTTAATTTACTCTCTGTTCATTCATTCATACTTTTATTGAGTGCCTCTATGTGCCAGTCACAGTGCTGAGATGTGGAGGCTAACACTTATTCCTGCCCTCAATGAGTCAGAGTCCAAAAGAGGAGGCAGATGTGTTAACAGACATGATAAATAGTATGATTCATGCTAGAACAGGCTCTGAAAAGGGTAGAGGGCCTACAGAAGGGACAGAGGTATCAATCCCAAGGAGTCTTCTCTTGAGAGCCAAATTTCTTGTCTGATTCAGGTTTGTGAACACAGAGAGCAAATTCTTAAACTTCTAACATTCAAGTGAGAGATATGGTTCAAATCAGTACCAAAGAAGTAGGTGAGACCGGCCAGGACTAACTGTGCCATGCCCGACCCCCAACTCTCCTCTACTACATGACAGTCCTCTGACTTGGAGAGAGGGTGAGAGCCCTTGACCCGAGTGCGAGTCTCAGAAGAGGAGCTCACCCCTCCTTGCCCTTCTGGATCTGCCCCGGGCTAGGGGAGTGGGTGACCTTCTGGGGCCTGAGTGAGGGACCGACAGAGTGAGGCTTTTGAGAAATGACCCTGAAGATGCTTTGTAAAACTAAAATACCACTATCAAGATTAAACGTGAATGAAAGAATAATGGAGTGAGATCCTGGCTGCCGTAACTCCTCAGCCGTGAATTCTCAGGACCCCTCCTCTCCAGCTCCATTTCAAGATGAGTCACACTTGCATTTGCGAGGGACGCAAAGCCCAAACCACAGACATCAGGAAGTGGGGAGCCGTCAGCGTGGAGTGAAGGAACAGACCGTGATATGAACCACATGCAACTGGGAAAGTGGTTGTTGCTTTAGGATATTCAGCCACACTCAGTAAGACAGATCCTTTTCTTCATGTTGGCACTATGCCTTTTTTGTCTTACTACCCCCCCCCCCCCCCCCCAAAAAAAAATTCTTACAGAGACAGTGGTTCTAATTGTCTTCTGGACTTTGTTTAAAAATACCTATTAAAATGTCATACTGAGGGATTTCTTTATACATAATGTAAATTGCATGCAAGGAAGGACCTCAATTAGGGTATTACAGAAAGCAGTGACTGCACCACGCTAGTCAATGCAGCACTAATAAGAGAGTTCTGTGCCTTGCATGATAATCAAGGCCATTTACCAGGCTCAAGCTGATGCGCTCTGGGACTGCAGAAACCAGCTGCCTTCCCAGCTGCCTGACTGTCTGAAATCTTTCAAGGTGCCAAGACAGAAGTGTGGGGTGCATGGAGAAGAACGCTGGCTTTCATGTTCTTTTCTGGGTTCTCTCCCTGAGCGTGGGTGAGTTAGCACCTACTCTGTTGACTCACATTTGGTTGCTAGTTATCTAATATGATCAATGATCCAGTGTTTGGTAACAAGGTAGATTTTAGGGATAAAACACAGATCCAATGATCTAAAACATTATTATTAATATTAATAAAAATAAATATTATAGGTCAGATCACTTTTCAACAGCTAAGAA